ATGGGCGAGCAGACTGTTTAGTGCGATGAGAAGGAGAAGGGCTCCGAACAGACAAAGGAGTGACCAAAACAGGAGGAGGAGAAGAAATGCTCGGCTGATCTAATGAATGAAAGGCACGATTGGCGTCAGTCGCAAATAATCTGCGCTTCACTGACGGCTAGAGTTGTTCAAAAAGAGGGTGAATGGCGTGGCTAGAATTGAAAGGGGCTAATGAAAAATGGCTGGTTAAAAGAATATTACGAGCATCTATAGCCTCTGCCTCCGCCTTAGTAATGGTATAAAAACGGTCAACTAAGTTCCTTGAATAGCAAGGAGGAACAGGCCAAGTTTGGCCAAAACCAAGCTGACGAGCAAAAAATTGAGGAGCATAAATCTCTACCCCCGCTTTGGCATTGGTCCCAGTTAGAATATCATGAAATAGCTCCCTCTTGGTTAAAAACTGGATCCAATAGTGAAAGGGGGATGTACATAGTTTGAAGTCAAAAAAGGAGGAAAAAGAAAAAAGGAAGGGATTGAATCCAAAGAATAAAAGAATGAAAAAATGTCCCTTCTGGACATATTTACAGGAGCTAAGGGCTCCATGGCTAGCCCATAACAGCTAGCAGAAGAGCGAGAGATGGATGGAGCACCAAGCGATGGAAAATAGGATCTCAACCACAGTTGAGTGAACCAAAGAGGTCTACTGCCAGTGGGAGATGCACCATTCTTTAATTGAGCTTGAAGGGAGGCCATGCCTCTATAAAGGGCAGCCAAAAACAAAGAACATAAATTCAAAGGCCTGCCACGTGCCAATTCGTGCGCTATAGGTAAATAACTCAAGGAGGGCTTTATGCTTGGCACGCACAAAATATATTTACAAAGCCAAACTAAAAGGAAGGCCACTTGCTCAGTATGGGAAGGCTCAGCGCTCGAATGATTGTGGAGGGTCTGCAGGCTTGAGTAAGAATCGGTGTAGTTTTTACCAAATTTTGGGGCGCCACCAGAAACTAAGATACCTGGAAAAATGGTATCGCCCAAAGGTGGTAGATTCACCAGGGCCCCACCATCCCTTAAGGTGATAGACATGGGGCCAAGAGGGAAAATAAAGGTGTTATACTCAGGGGACCAAAAACTCAAAGCAATCGAAAAGAGTGCTGAATCAAAAGTAGGGGGACGAATAGAGATTTCTAACAAATCAAAAATCCTAGCGCTATCAAAAAGTGCCTTAGTAGGACCATGACCCACAAGGTGAGCATGCCACCTACGAAAAGCTACATCAGATTTAGGCCAAGTGCGAATACCTCTTTCGCGAAGTGGCCCCAGCGGTAGAGAGTTCAAAAATGGAGGCCCTGAGTGCAAGGAAACAGCTGACCCACCGCCGCCTGTTCAACTGCCTCTATATTGTTGAAGAAAGGGCCCAAGTAGAACTCATTACGTCCAACGTCGGCGGGTGCGAGAAAACTCGGAGTTATGTATGGACGACTCAGGAGTTTCTAAAAGTCATCGAAACTAAAGGAGTAGCCAGCTTGAGATTTTGAAGTAGTCATTTGAGATGGAATGAAGTTTTGCAGGGTTACGTAGCAGGGAAGCAAAGGATGAACAGTAAATCTTGAGAGAGACGCAAAAAATTTGAGGCGTGAGTTAGTGGTGCAGTGAAATGGCGTGTTGGGGGGGTTATAAGGGTTTGCAAAACGACGCACCTTTCCAAGTTATAGAAGGAAACAATAATTGAAATTCTTGGGAATTTCGAATGTTGCTGGAAATACAAAGTGAATTTGGCAAAATTTAATAATTATTATTAATTCTGCCATATTGGGGGGTAATTGTTGACACATAAAAATTTAGCCCAAATCAAGCGGCCCAAGAAGTGAAGCCCAATTGGAGGATCCCCAAATCAGAAAGCCCAAAGAACGAAGCCCAATCATACAAATCAAGATGAAGGCCCGAATAAGGAGGCCCAAGAACGCGGTAGCGCCATCGCCCAAGTTTGCAAGTCGCCCAGAATCTGAGCGAATGGAGTGTCATACAGTCGCCCAGAGCTGTTACTCTATTCTCGCCCAAACCTTCAAGTCGCCCAAGGTCTTAACAAACATAAAGCGTCATGGTTATCAAGAAGTGCAGTTATCAAAGCAGTTATAAAAGCAGCCCTATCACATTCCACAATTCGAGGAATTCAATCGAAAGCGGTTGAACGATGAAGAGTAATGGCAGTAGTTAAAAAAGGAAGTTGTCATGACAAGTTGGCCATTACGAAAAAAGTGGGCAGTTATAGGACGATCAGGCAGTTTTTAGAGCGGTTGATCACAAAGAGATCGTCCATGAAGTATAAAAGGGAGAAAGGACTTAGAAGAAAGGACCGAATCCAAAACTCTCGAATAGAGAACATGTAATTTTCATTTCCTTAGTTTTTAGACTTAAACACTTTTCTTTTAGTAACTCGTGTGCTTGCGCCCCTTGGAGGCACGTTGTTTTTCATTCCCAATTGTAAAGTCATCGCCAATAAAAGAACACCCATTTTTGGGACTTTGTCTCAAGAGGTTTCGTCCCTTACACAATCGTCTGATCCTTCTTAATTGTTAGCGACTAACCCGCGCGAAACAGGTTTATATTTTCATCTTTTTTCGATGTGGGATTTTATCCCCTTAACATGCCCTCGCAAGGTGGTTCATTTGAGCACTTAGGGTTCCATCTTAACATGTCGACCTTATTAAGAGAAGTAATCCAAACCATTTATAAATTGGTCTATATTTTCATCTTTTTTCGATGTAGGATTTTATCCTTTAACAAAATGCTCATGTCGTCGTAGTAGCGATGACAATAATGGTAGGGGAGGATGGCTTTTAGTGGTCATGGGAGAATGTTAAACTTATTCTTCTTCTTTTTTTTTCTTTTTTTTTTCTTTTTTGTGGTTAGGTTACACTGAAAAGTTGGATTATGAAAGTACAATTAGTCCAACAAAGTGATTTTTTTATTCTTTAGACCGTAGAAACAACACACTAATGCATTTATTTTTAACCTCTTTCCGATGGTATAACAAATTAATTACTTTCTAGATAAATAAAAGCAAGAAATTAACATTGAAACCAAATATATGTCGGTTGGTTTGTGGTCCATATGGACCCATTCACCTGTTTTTTAAATCCCACTCCATCCCATGAAGAAAACATGAAGACTGGCTAGAATAGGAAGAGGAAAAAGAAAGGTTTGACTTCCACCATACAGGTAGGGGTAGATCCAACCTTGAGGTTGAACACAAGCTACAATACAAATATACATGGATTTATCTTCTTCTTTTTTAAAGCTAAGTAAAATTAGAAATTTTCAGGATCCAGGCACGGGCTATAGCATGGTAGAGCCCGTGCCTAGATCCGCTAATGAAGACTGGCTAGAATAGGAAGAGGAAAACCACACTGTTTAGGACCAATGGGTTGAGACACATCCTTTCTAACACCTACAGATGTTAATCAAGTTCAAGCAATGTTTGAACCTATCCATTGTGATCAGCTTTGTCATCGTGTCTACTGCATTCTCTGAGGTATGCACCTTCTCTAACAACAATTCTCTTGAAATAACCAACTCTCTTATCTTGTGAAATCTCACATCAATGTGCTTGGTTCTTGCATGATAAATATGATTTTTCGCTAAGAAGATGGCTCTCTGACCACCACAGTACAACTTCATTCCATCTTACTTGATCCTAAGTTCCCTAACAAGCTCTCTCAACCACAATAATTCCTTGACTACCTCAATTGCCGTCATGTACTCTGCTTCAGTTGTAGATAATGCCACAAGTGACTTCACCATTGATCTCCAACATATAGGCTCACATGCAAGTGTGAAAACATAACATGTATGGAACCTTCTGTCATCCAAGTCCCCTACATAATTTGCATCTACATATCCCTGAATTGAAACATCATCATGTTATCTCTCAAATATGATCCCACTCTATTGTACTTTTCAAGTACCTGAAAATCCATTTTACAGTTCTCCAATGCTCTCTACTGGGATTAGCCATATACTTGCTAACCACACTGACTGCATGCGCTAGATTTGGTCTGGTACACACCATTGCATACATTAAACATCCAACTACGCTAGCATAAGGCACCTTTGACATCTCTGCAATTTCTTCTTCATTCTTTGGGCACTGATTATTAGACAATTTGAAGTGATTTGCAATGGTGTAGCAACTGGTTTTGCATCGGACATGCTAAACCTCTCCAACACTTTCTTTAAATATTTTTTCTGAGATACCCATAATTTTCTAGCCTTCATATCTCTGTTGATCTCCATGCCAAGAATTTTCTTAGTCGATCCCAAGTTTTTCATATCAAACTTACTGGTCAACAAAGATTTCAATCTGTCTACCTCATTCATGTTTTTAGCAGCAATTAGCATGTCGTCCACATACAACATCAAGAAAATGTATGAATGATCCTCAAGAACTTTGTAGTAAACGCAACAATCATACTCATAACGACTGTAGCCAATCCGAATCATATGAGAGTTGAACTTATTGTACTATTGTCGAGGAGACTGCTTAAGCCTGTATAAAAACTTCTTCAGTTTATACACAAGATTCTCTATTCTTGGTTCCAAGAACCCCTCTGACTGCTTCATGAAAATTTGCTCCTCCAAATCACCATGAAGAAAAGCAGTCTTCACATCTAATAGCTCTAATTTCAAATCAAAACTAGCCACCATTGCCAAAACAATCCTGATGGAAGTGTGTCTGACGATTGGTGAGAAAATTTCATCATAATCTATTCCCTTCCTCTGTAAGTATACATTTGCTACTAATCGAGCCTTGTATCTTTCTCCTTCCTTTTCTAACGTTCGGTATGCTACGTTCCTTCCCTCCACTCCGCTTTGCTCCGGCATCGGCCTATTTTATCTAGAGAACCTGTGTTTCACTTTATATGAGTCACATATACAATATTTTTACTCATTAAAAACTGGTAGTATTATTTCATATTTTGATTACCAAGGTCCACGATGTTCATCCTTTGGATTTGGAGATGGTGGAATTGGACCCTTTCAGAGTCAATAACACAGAAGAACTCTATTTTAAAATGATTACACATGGATTAATGGTAAGAGCAACTTATAAGTTGTAATAGAATCAGAGTTTTATTTACTTTTTTCTACAATAAGTTTGCTTATGTCTTTTATTGAATTTTCCAGTGGCAAATGTAATTTTCTTAGAATCCTCTGCTTGGGTTGGATTCTCTTATTCAAACACGTCCACTGATTACAATCGCGCTGGTGATACGAGCACTGCCAATGATGCCTATACTTTTCTCGTCAATTGGCTTGAGAGGCTTCCACAATACAAAACCAGGGAATTCTACATTACTGGCGAGAGTTATGCAGGTCATTATATGCCACAGTTAGCGTACACCATATTACTTAACAACATCAACATAAATCAAACTGTTATTAACCTAAATGGAATTTTAGTACGTTCAATCAACACAAGTTCTCCTTTACATTTCAAGTTGTGTTTATGTTTAAACTGATTTATTATAAATAGTTCAGGTAGGAAATGCATTCTTTGATGACTCGAAAATGTCACCAGGATACTACAATTATTTTTGGACTCATGCTTTAAACTCAGATGAGACTCATAAAGAAATCATTTCGTTGTGTGATTTTTTGAGTAGCACTGCATCTGACGAGTTCAATAGTTCTATCAATAAAGTTTATAATCAACTAGGAAATATTGACATAACAAACATTTATGCACCAAGATGCCGGAATCCTGAGCTTAAAAATGGCTCCAGCAGTTCTGTAATCCCTTTTTATCACCTACTCACTTTGACTTTCATTTTTTGCTTCATTAAGTTACTATTCAATTGATTTGATCAGGTTAACTTCTTTGATCCCTCCTTGGATATACACATGTAATACTACTTAAATATTGCAGAGGTTCAAAGGGCTCTTCATGTAAAGCTTACAAGCTGGAATCTTTGCAGGTAAAAATTGGAAAAAAATAGATGTCTTGCAAAAATTATAAGAAGAAAGCAAGTTTCAATTTTGATCTATTTGTGCAGACTTTATAACTAGACAGACATGCAAAGAACTACTTTGCCAATCATTGAGAATCTCATGGCTATACAGGTAAGTCTTTTTGATGAATCACATCATCTAAAAGCTTAAATTTTTGGATAAAACGTGCTTTTTCAAATTTACTCTTCAAAATGCCTATTAATGTGAATGCTGAATTTATTATTTTACCTAAAACCTGATCAAGTGTGTACAATTTTTATAAATAAGTGACAACCAGTCAGTATAATTTTAATCTTCAACTATATTCCAACCATAAATCCTTGAATAAGCATGGCACAGGTAGATTTATTTATTTATTTATTTATTTATTTATTATTGTTATTATTATTATTATTATTATTATTATTATTATTATTTATTTTTTGCCAAAATTACCTCAACTTGAAAATCCAAGCATAAGATATTCATTTTGTTGATTACAAAGGCATAGTATAACTAGATGGTAATGGATATAAGAATTCCGAGACATCTTGCGACAAGTTGAGTTTTAATAAGTTGCTCATTTGGTTCAATTATATCATTTTATACATCTTGTTTTATGCATTTTTGTCATTCTTTAACTCTATCTACATAATTAATCTTGGACATGGAGATATTATGGTTTCACATGAATAGAAAGTTTTATTCAATTGATTTTGTAAAGGTTGGTTTAAACAAGGCATTTCCTCGTATTTTTATGCAGCGGTGACATAAATGCAAATGTTCCGGTGACAGTAACCAGAGTTGCAATAAACAACCTAAAACTTGCAATGGAGAATCCTTGGCACGCATGGTACCTTAACAATGAGGTGAGAACCATGAGAACTTCGAAGATTGTAATGGGGACGCAACTATCTCTTCTAAAAGTCCAAGCTTAAGGGTGATTGAATCCCACAACTATTTGACCCCTACAATACCCCCACGGCCCCAAATTCGACGTCCATGACGGTCCACTCCAAGACGACCTTCGCTTTACTCAGTCGGCCCTTCTTTGGCTGCTGGTATTCAGCACTTTGCTTAGTTCACCCCTTTCGGGATTCAAGCCTATGACGTGTCACAAAAGCCCATGCTTGAGGGTGATTAAATCCCACAAATATTAGACCCTAATAGATTGATAGCTTGCTTTTGATCGTTAATGTTGATGAATGCAATGGCAGGTCGGGGGATATGTGGTGGAATACAAAGGATTAACATTTGTGATAGGTCCAAAAAACCATCCTCAGTGGGCATTTACCATGATATCTTCATTCCTTCAAGGGATTCTTCCTCCTCCTAATTTTCTGAATTTTTCTGGACACTAAATATGCCCTCCAACGATTTGCAATTCTCTTTTTTAATTTTTTTTATTGCTAAATGTAAATATCATTGATAAAAAAATATTCATATACAAGTACACCGGGCATACTCGGGTAAAACAGAAGCCAATATCATATACAATTACTCCGGGCATACCCGAGAGATACATCAAAAGTGAAGTGCAAAAATAGTCATTGACCAAACACTAAGGACTCGAAATGGGTCAAGACATTCGGATACAAAGAAAACATAACTTTGTATACATGTGTCTTGATCCGTCTCATAATACAATCCAAATTAGGTGAAAGGTCTACAAAAATCTTCTTATTACGTGTTAACTAAATTTAGTAGACGGTACTTGCAAGTGCAATTCGCTTAGCCTTGCTAAGCCATGATGTCCTTCGGGCCTCTTTTTTCAACCACTTCAAAGTGCTAGCAATTATTGACATAGATCTTTTGATTCCAAGCCACTATCTAATATTCCCCCATAATGTCGAAGTGAAGGAACATTCAAAGAATAAGTGCTGAACTGTTTCTGCCATATGCCCACAAAAATCACACTTGCGATCGATATACAAGAAATGCAGTTTGTCTTTTGTTAGAAGCTTTGATTGAACCCCTAACTAAAGCAAAAAAGAGTGTTTTGGAGTAATGTAAGGTCTCCAAACATCGGCAGCCCAAGTCTTCTTTGTACCCCTCGGCCTAAAGAAATCATAGGCCATTTTTATGCTGAATTTAGGGCCTGTCTCTCAGCCAAGAAAACTGCCCAAAAATCCCAAAATTGGCTCCCTGTTATGAGCAGTCTGTTGACCCATAAAACTGTCAAGATTCAACTGAAATCGGCCCCTATTTTGAATATGGACAGTCTGCTGAATTGAGGGAAAACCAACATATGGAGCCTGGTAATTTTCACTGTCAACTGAGATGGACAACACCGCCTTTCCATGTGCAAGAAACTGGAGACCAGCAACCTTATAAAGCAGTTGATCTCTAATTTCCAGCAATTTTTTAAGGAGTGGAGAGTGATCTTTTCTATGACGAACCTCCCAAATACAAGTCTCTTTAAGATACATTTGGTAAACCCAACGAATCCAAAGTGTGTCTTTTGTATGTTGAATATTTCAAAGGGATTTAGCAAGTAACGCTAAATTTCAACTCTTCAAGTCTTTCAAACTGAGGCCTCCTTCAACTTTTGGGAGGCAAAGATCCTTCCACGCCACCAAAGGTTTCTTAGAACCCCAAAGAAATTTTTGGTAAAGGCTAACAATCCTTGAGATAATTGTAGTTGAGATAGGGAAGATAGAAAGCCAAAAATATTCAACACCTTGAAGAACTGCCTTAATAAGTTCCACCTTGCCCGCATAAGATAGTGAAGAGCAATTCCAAACACTAATGTAACTTGTCATTTTATCAAGAAATGGGGCATAACAACTAACTTTGAGCGTTTCCAAAACAAAGGGATGCCCACCTATCGGAATGGCATAGTACCCCTTGGGATATTTGTAATTGGAAGGATATCCTCAAGTGCTTGTCCATTTATACTAGCTGTATGCAAGCTGGATTTAAGGATGTTCAACCTTAAACCCGATACAAGACCAAATCTTGAGGGGCAATCCATGAGAATTTGCACCGACATAACATCCTCCTAGCAAAGAGCATCAAATCATCTGCGAATGCTAGGTGGATGATCTTTTGGGGGCCACATTTAGGATGATAATAGAACTCACTATCATTTGTGCACGCCCTAATCATTCTTGAGAAATATTCAATACAAAGCACGAACAAAAAGGGGAAGAGATGATCACCTTTTCGGAGGCCTTTCCCTCCTTTGAAAAAGCCATTCGTACTCTCATTTAAAGCTACAGAATATGTTGGAGAAGTAACACATACCATGACCCATTGTACAAGTCTCGGAGGGAAGTGCAACCCTTCAAGCACACCTTTAAGGAAGTCCCAACTTACCGAAACATAAGCTTTCGTAAGATCAATTTTTAGGAGGCATCTTAGAGCAACCATTTTCCTATTGTATTTCCTCATGAGTTATTGGGCAAGGTAGATGATTTTCATGATACTTCTACCTTCAACAAAAGCCTGTGCCTAGTCCACAATATTTCCCAAAATCTTATTAGGCACTTTAACGAGCTAATTATTGATGAAATTGAGTGGATTCCTATATATAATTGTGTAATTATGGTGTTCGTAGGCCAAAAGTCCAAATTGGATGAGAAAAGAGCTAAATCAAGGAAGAAATGACCAAAAGTGCACAAAAACATGACTTGGTGACCATAGTGTACAAGTGCTGAAAGTTTAGGGACCTATTGTTGCAATTTTGGAGGGACAAAGTGATATGAAAATCATAGAGGACCAAGTTTTTCATGATCAAACTTGAGAGCCTTGTGTGCAATTGAATGAAGGACTAAGTTGGAAAAAAAGAAATGAAAAAAGCCTACGCGCAAAAAGCCCGCGCTCGCGCGCAGGCTTACTATGGCGCTTGCGCGGGAGGCTCTTTATGATATCCCAATGCCAAAAGCATCTAAACGTGTGCGAGCACCACAAATGCCCGTGCGCACTCGCTGCTTTCCGACTGGGCAAATTTTGCCTATTTTACGTAAATTTCGGGACCTCTTTCGCAATTTCACTTAAGACGATTTTTGCCATTTAAATACCCATTTGTTGGTCACTTCTAGGGCAAGACTTATAGGAGAACACTTAGAAAATCTTTCAAGGAGAGAAGAGGCAAGAAGAAGGGAGAATTTCTAGCAAAAATTGGGAGTTTACAATGAATATTAAAAATTTCAATCCCTCACTTCTTCAAGAATATATTCAAGGGACGATTTTCTTCCACTCTCTTATATTTTTCTGTTATCCCCTTCATTTTGTAATGGGTTCTCTCTTTATTTCATTTTTGTGCTTCTATTTTGCAATGGGCTAAGTGTTCAATGTTGGGATTTATGACGTAGCTTGACTTAAGTTTCTTTAATGTCAATATTCATCATTTAATGTTTTAATTACTATGTTATTGTGCATTTATTATTGTGCTTAAATTTTCTTCATGTATGTGGCCTATCATCTGTCTTGACTTGAGCAAACCAAAGAGGTGGTGGATGGGGAGATAAATGAAGTATTTACCGATGAACAACTATTGCAAATTATGCATCTTCTGCAAGCCCCCCATATACCATGGTATGCGGACCATGTGAACTTTCTTGCTAGTGGCATCACTCCCCCGAATCTCTCTTACCAACAAAGGAAGAAGTTCTTTGTCGACATCAAGCATTATTTTTGGGACGATCCTTTGTTGTTCAAACGGGGCCCGGATCAAATTATTCGGAGATGTGTGCCGGAAGATGAAATGGAGCAAATCCTTGAACAATGTCATTCCTCACCCCATGGTGGTCACTTCGGGACAGTGAAAATCACATCAAAGGTACTTCAATCCGATTTTTACTGGCCCACATTTTTCAAAGATACTCACACTCTTGTCTCCAAGTGCGAAAAATGCCAACGTCGTGGTAATATTTCCAACCAAAATGAAATGCCTTTGAATTCTATATTAGAGGTGGGAATTTTTTATGCATGGGTATTGATTTTATGGGACCTTTTCCTCCTTCATTCTCAAATCAATACATATTGGTGGCGGTTGATTATGTGTCAAAGTAGGTAGAAGCGGTGGCTTTGCCCACTAATGATGCTCGGGTGGTAGTAAACTTTTTAAAGAAAAATATTTTCTCTCACTATGGCATCCCCCAAGATATCATTAGTGATGGAAGTAAACATTTTTGCAATCGCCTCTTCGGCTCAGTATTGACCAAATATGGAGTAAAGCATCGTGTAGCCACTCCCTATCATCCCCAAACTAGTGGCCAAGTTGAAATTTCGAATCGGTAGTTGAAGAGGATTCTTGAATTGACGGTGAGTGCCTCTAGAAAAGATTGGTCCAAGAAATTGGATGATGCATTATGAGCTTATCGTACCACGTTCAAAATGCCTATTGGTATGTCTCCCTATTGTCTTTTGTTTGGGAAATCTTGCCACCTCCCAGTAGAACCTGAGCATCGAGTTTATTGGCCAATAAAAGCTGTGAAGTTTGATGTGAAATTGGCTTGTGAGAAAAGATTGCTCCAATTGAATGAACTTGATGAAGCCCGCCTTGACTCTTACGAGAATGCTCAAATTTACAAAGAAAAGTCAAAGAAATGGCATGACAAACACATTGTGAAACGCGAGTTCTTTGTTGGACAACAAGTTATTCTCTACAATTCTCGACTCCAATTGTTTCCCGAAAAGCTCTGCTCAAGATGGTCGGGTCCTTTCACCATTGCTAAAAATTTTCCACATGGAGCAGTTGAACTTCATCATGAGGAAAAGGAGAACTTCAAGGTTAACGAGCAACGGTTGAAACCATTTGGAGGTGATTTTTCTAAGGAGAAGTCCTCCATTCCTCTTACCAATTTGGAGTGAACAAGGCCTATAGTCGAGCTACGGACTATAACCAAGCGCTTGTTGGGAGGCAACCTAACTTTCTTATTCTTACACTTCAGTTTATGTTACTTGTGATTAATACTTTTGTTATTACATTTTGAACTAATACAATTCTTTTGCAGGTCAAAATTTTTGAAGTCCTAGCCACCTATAGACCTCAACAAGTTTGGGGGTGCACGGTCTACTAAGTCATAAACCAAAAATTCATCTACAACATCCTTCAACAAACACCTAATCAGGGAAGTTTCGTCAACTCTCTCTCCTTATTTTGTATTTATGCACACATTGAGGACAATGTGTAAGTTAAGTTTGAGGGTGTTAAATGTTGATTGGCTATTGTGTCTATTTATCGTGCTTATATTGGTGTTGATACTGGCTTGTTGGATAGTCTAGTCAGCTTTTGATGATTTGATGTGATGTTTAAAATTGTTACTAATTCATAAGTTATGTCCAATCATGCTATTTGTTCCGATCTTGAAAATTTGCTTGTCCATGTGAGATTTTATACCACTTTGAGCACAATAGTCACAACTGGTTATTTTCTAGATATGGAAATGGTTGATTGATGGAAAATGTTTGAATTAGAATAACTAGGTTGTGAGTTACACATAAACTTCGATCATACTCTCAATCACACTAACATTTTATGAATTAAGTTTGGGGGTGGTCAAGCCGGTGAAGGATATTATCTAGAAGTGTGTTGATTCCATGCATGTTGAAAATATTTGTGTGGAGTATCTTTTGCCAAGTATAAGCTAGGTAATGACCATATGCTAGGGATCTAAGCCCTATGTGCTTGTTTGTGCTTAAAAAGAATGTTATTGCACTTGTTGAATCTTGGGCCTCACTTCGTTGCCTTTTTGACTCGAGTTATTAAGCCTGTAGGGGTATTTCAAAACCTGGTACCCTTTGGCCTAAACAACCGAGGAGTTATCGACCTAAAACTCGATACAAGGGTCAAGAAGAAAGCTTAAGAGAGTGGGGTAAAACATGAGATTGCTAAAAAAAAAATCATAATAAAAAATAAAAAATTGTTGTGCAATTGTATTTGATATTTGGGCTTAGATAACTAGTGGGTTTGAATTACTTTGTATAAGCTTAAATGCGGAAGTACTCATTAGTGGAGAATCATCACATGACTAGATGTTAAGATTGTCGGTTAGACCCAACCAAACTAGAGCGAGAAAAGAAATGAGTGATTGAATAACAACCCTTTGATTTTTACCTGGGGAGAGAACAGAAATATCTATTTCAGTATGTGAATCTCAAGAGCAGGAAAGGAAATATTTGACCACAAAGGGTCGGACTGGAGCCAATTTGAAAATTTTTTGTCTTGATAATTGTTTCCTAATTTAGATGATGATTAAAAGTGACTATACACATACATACACCGATCAAGCATTAGACAATTTTATATTATTTTTGGTAGCAGGATTCAGAAGCATAGATGTGAATTGATTACACAATTTTACACTCTTGTTTATATTGATAGGCTATCCAATATTGTTGGTTTTTTGTATGTATTGCATGATTGAATTAGGAGTTAATCTTACTCGAGACAAGCAAGAGTTTAAGTTTGGGGGTGTTTGATTAGTGTGTTTTTAAATACTTATTAGGCACTTTAACAAGCTAATTATTGATGAAATTGAGTGGATTCCTATATATAATTGTGTAATTATGGTGTTTGTAGGTCAGAAGTCCAAATTGGATGAGAAAAGAGCTAAATCAAGGAAGAAAGGACCAAAAGTGCACAAAAACATGACTTGGTGACCAAAGTGTACAAGTACTGAAAGTTTAGAGACCTATTGTTGCAATTTTGGAGGGCCAAAGTGATATGAAAATCAAATTTCAAGGACCAAGTTGTTCAGGATCAAACTTGAGGGCCTTGTGTGCAATTGAATGGAGGACTAAGTTGGAAAAAAAGAAATGAAAAAAGCCTGTGCGCAAAAGCCCGCGCGCTTACTCTGGCACTCGCGCAGGAGGCTCTTCATGATATCTCGATGCCAAAAGCATCTAATTGTGCACGAGAGCCACAAATGCCTGTGCACTCTCGCCGCTTTCCGACTGGGCAAATTTTGTCTATTTTACGTAAATTTCGAGACCTCTTCCGCAATTTCACTTAAAATGATTTTTGCCATTTAAATACCCATTTGTTGGTCACTTCTAGGGCAAGACTTATAGGAAAACACTTAGAAAATCTTTCAAGGAGAGAAGAGGCAAGAAGAAGGGAGAATTTCTAGCAAAAATTTGGAGTTTACAAGGAATATTAAAGATTTCAATCCCTCACTTCTTCAAGAATATATTCAAGGGACAGTTTTCTTCCATTATCTTGTATTTTTCTATTATCTCCTTCATTTTGTAATGGGATCTCTCTTTATTTCATTTTTGTGCCTCTATTTTGCAATGGGCTAAGTGTTTAATGTTGGGATTTATGATGTAGCTTGACTTAAGTTTCCTTAATATCAATATTCATCATTTAATGTTTTAATGACTATGTTATTGTGCATTTATTATTGTGCTTAAATTTTCTTCATGTATGTGGCCAATATATGATTGAATTGAGTGGTTTGTGCAACTATTGAGAGATTGTTGTGCATTATTGACCAAAATAATTAATGCCCTAGGTTGTTTTAGGGGATAGAGATATACTCCAAACCCTAAATGACCCATTGAGTTCTTTTCATCACGATTTAATGCGGTCGGTTAGGTTTTTATCAACATAGAGATATAATAGGTAAAACCAAACGATTAGAGTCAATTTCACTCGAGATAGGTAATTAACTAAATTTAGAAAATCGGGTCTAATAATATAACGAGGTGATTTGCATTTTTGGTTTGTTCCAATATTAAAGAAACGACAGTTAAGTGACATTGTAAATCCCAATTCATTTATAAGTCAAATTTCCTTCTCTTTCATAATTGTTATTTTAATTTATTTTCAAATTTATTTTCCTTTCCTTTTCACATATAAAATCTAATTATGAGTTTCAATTGTTAAAATTGAGTCAACAACTGTATAATTTAAAAAAAAAAAAAAAAAACTCTTCGAGGGATCGATACTCGAACTCATAAGTCCACTTTATTACTTAAACGCACTCGTGCACTTATGGTATATAATTTTAGCAAACATGCCTCAATCTTGAAGCAAGAATTTTAGCAATCACTTTATAAGTTACATTACAAAAGGAGATAGGACGATAGTCCCCATCGTGCGGTGTATGACCAGATTTAGGCACTAAAGCAATGATTGTGTGGTTGATTTGTTTGAGGATAGAACCGGGAGAGAAGAACTTCATGATAGCCCCAACATAATCATCACCAATAGTCCCCCATGCATTCTTAAAAAAAAACAAGAAGTATAACCATTCAGTCCGGGAGACTTTTCATCTCCAATATCAAAGAGTGCCTCTTTGATCTCCTTATAAGAAACATCCCGAACCAAGGAGTTACATTGTTCTAATGAAACCAAATGACCATTCCTAACAATTTCCAGCTCAAGAGTTCGAGTTGGACAGTTTTTTCCCAACAATGTAGTGTAAAATTTTACAAATTCCATGGCAATTTGGTCTTGCGATGTAGTATACATCCCATCCTCTCTGAGTATAGTAGCTATAAAGCTCCTCCTTGAGTTCCTTTTAACCACTGAGTGAAAGAACTTTGTACATTTATCATTTTGCTTAAGGAAGATACACTTTGCTTTTTGATAATAAAAACTACGTCACGATTCATATAAACCGACGGCTTTCTTCCTCAAGTTAGCGACCATAAGTTGCAAATGTTCATTCATGGGCTGATTATGTAGCTGTATTTGGGTAGCCATCAATTCACTTTTAGCCTCATTTGCCCCAGTCGAGATGTGTCCAAAATGCTTGGTATTAAGCTCCTTTAAAGCTCCCTTTAGTTTGCTCAACTTCTTGCAAAGAATAAATTGCTTTATCCCCCTCATGTTAAAATTCAAGCAAGCCAAAAACATTCTCTTTCTTAATTTGTTTTTATGCCAAGGGGCTAATAGTTTGTTTACAAAACTACTAGAATAACTCATTTGTTTTGACGCCAGACAGCAAATTTGTATTCCTTTTGTAATGGTTAAACTGCTTTTGTCTTATGTGAATTAAATGTCAACTATATGAAAAATTCAATCTATTTTAAGGTTATCATTTTGTCCAGGGTTGGACACGCTGGTTGATTTGAATGTTTATTGGTTTTAAAACAAGATTCTATTAGTTCCATCCAAACAAGACTCTGTCACCCGGGGCCCTCAGGTATCTAAAAATATGACCTTTTTAGATATGCTTAATTCTTGGCCCTCACGAGCTATAGACCTCCGCCCCAATCGAGGGTGTTTGTGACATGACTAAGAACCAAAGCGTATTTTCCAAATTCGTAGTCCTAGCCTGAGAAGTGAAACTGATATGTTAACCCTATAGACAGCTGTTTAATAGCGTCACAGAAACCATATATTCAATCAAACAACATGAAAATATAGAAAAATAGAACAGGAACATCTTTGTTACGTAGGCAAAAATAATATGAATATCTTTGTAAAAAGAAGCAAAAGAGATATTGCTAAAAGGTAAAATAAGAAAGAAAATTATATATCTTTCTTCTAATTTATTATGACCCACAAGGGGTGATAGAACCATGAGAAAACTGTTAGCATAGTTGTATAATTAAATCTCGTAAAAAAATATACGGCACAACAATAAAAATGAGATTTAGCTCAATTTGACAATAGAAGTATCCTCAGCTTTTAAACGTCCGTTCCTGGTTTTCTTAAGCGGATAGTTGGTTTGTCAAATTATAGTGTCAATATCTGAGTTCACTCAGTGCACCAACAATTGTAATTTACAGGTTTCTTTAATCAATGAACAAACTATTTTTAATACATTCAAATCTTCTGTTTTAAAGCTCTCTTCAATTATTTTTAATCCCGAATTGACTCAAGAAAATACTTAAGGTGGTCTAACGAAGCAGAATAC